GGTACTCTGCCGTAGTAGTCGAATGTTCTACTGCTAGAAAGGGACACTGAACAGATTATGTGCCCTTGAGTTGACTGCACGCACCAAAAGTTTCGAGGTATGAGTACCATAGCTGAAAACTCATAATTATCGCCAAAAAGTTTGCCGTTCACTACAGTGGACACCATGCACGAAAGGATTAACTCCATTCAAGCAGATTCTATCAGACTTTTGTCCAACATAAAACAAAAATATTATCAGAGACGAAGAATTAAAATTCGAATGCTTTGTCAAATGGCCATTAAAAAGGCATTAAAAAAGGGAACAGAGTTAAAAGCAATATTTTTCTGCTGCAACGAAAGATATTTGAAAAGACGAGACGTTGCAAAATGATCTCGAGATATTTGAGCGTCTCATACGCTTTTCAGGTATTTGAAATCCGAGCCTCAAGATGAAATCGAGTTTTAATGCCTCCTTTCAATACTGGTGCAGGGTGCTGACCGTCTCGTAGGGCAGGGTTTAATTTACATAGCTTTAGATCCAGACCATAAAGGATGAATGGGAAGACCTTTGAAAGGCGGGCAGATGTTCCAGGCCGAGATGCCTCCTTCGTTCATGAACTGACCCAGTCCGATCTCCAGGATGAAGAGGGGGATCCCGCAGCACAGAAGGAACGTGAAGTATGGCACCAGAAACGCACCTGTGTCGATAGATCTGTTTTAATAGCTTTTTTGAGTTTGTGCGTTTCTTTCTTGATTTTTGAATTTGAATGCGGTCGACGTGAAAGACTGAAGGGGGAATGTCGATCAAATAAAATACAATGAAATAAGTGGAAAATAATTAGGCAAAAATATTTTAGATGTCTCGTTACGATCTGATGCAGGTCTACAAAAGGGTTTTGGGCGGGTATCAGGGTCGTTCTCTTGTAAACGGCATCGCCACTATCATGCTAGGTTCACATCTGAGCACAGATATGAAGCAGGGGTTTCATCGCTTCAGTGAAAATTGCATCCGGTTATTTGTTGAGTTAATTACTCGTCAGGAAGTGCTTTTCACGTGTTGACGATCGGGCAGTTCGGGATGGGGGAAAAGCCCCGCCTGGTTTCCTTTCTCCGACGAGTATTACATATTTTCTTCTCTCCCCCCTTACCCCTCCCCCCACCCGCGCCCCTCAACTCTCTAAGAGGCAGCGAGACGTGGACGGCATGAGATTCGGCTTTCCATGGAAAAATCAAGGAATGCATATCGTGATTCTTGGATAGGATGTACAGGGAGTCGATTTCATTATTTATTGCGTATCTCTTCAATTCGCATTTGGCGACTTCAAACGAGAATTAAACAGATGCCGAAGCATTAGGAATGAAATAAGTTATGCCGAATACGACCAGCAAGATGACCATAAACAAAAATCGGGAGGAAACAAAATGATATAAAGGTGGCATAACCGTGCATAATCAACAGCGAAATATTGAAGCAAAATGGAAAAGAAATTCCCACGAAAGTAATCGAAAATCTAGAACGAATCGACCCAGGAATTGCAGCAATATCCGAAACAGAAATCTATAAGAAAAAAAAACATAGAAAGGGACTGACCGCCTCCATTGCGATAGCAATAGTAAGGAAAGCGCCAGACGTTGCCGAGTCCGACGGCGAATCCGATGCAAGAAAGGAGAAATTCCGCCTTGTTGGCCCAAGTTTCCCTCGGTGGCAGTGCCCCGCTTTCCTCCGCCTTCGACCCACCTTCTTCCATCTTCGACCCACCTTCCTCCATCATCGACACGCTTTCTTCCGTCTTCGACACACCCATCTTCCCCCGTCAGCTGCACACCCTATGCACAAGAACGAGTAATCGTAAACACTCGTGGCCTCAAGGATCGTGCTTGCCGTGACAATGGATCCTTCAAGGTCAGACCACATTAAAAGGCTGGTTTTCATGCCTTCAAGAGAAGTAAATGTAGATTATATTTTTTCATTCAACGAGCTCCCAGGCACATAATGAGGAAATGGATGATTCCAACCAGTATGGCCTTGTGCCATGCATCTTTCAAGAGAGTCTCTTGTCGTGACCTCGGTTCTTGTAACTTGGAAATCCTCTCATAGCCGCGTACCTTCTACTTCTTTTCTTTTCACCGATGATGACGTAATGCTAGACTCACCCCGTGGAAGGAAGAAACCCGAGGAGACCGAGAGCGAGGAGGTTCCTGATGCGAGGCAGAGACGGAAATGAACGGAGGACGCTGTTCAATCGTCCCACGCCCTGTATCGGTGAGATCGCCTGCGGTCAGTGACATCTTTGGTGCAAAGCAGTAACTAACAGTTCCCAGTTGATTTTCTCGCGAATACACTTCTGTCGAGGATCTCTTGGATTTCCTCTACGGCGCAAGAGGTCACATATCCAGTAGCCATAATATATGAGATATTCAATATCCCTTGCACGCGAAATACATAACCGACGTGCCAAGAATTCTAACCCAACGACAGGAAACACAGGACAGGACATGTTTTTATCTCCTGCAGTCTGGTGACTGCAGGAGGTAAAAATATGTCCTGTAAAAATATGTAAAAATATGCCCGGTTGAAATATCGGGTGGCGCAAAAAAAACGCGTCCTGTTTGACGCTTTATAAAACCCGCTGTGGGTTATCTAGGTTCGTGATGTTTTCGTAGCGCATTGGAAACACCACAAAATTTGTTTTCTGAAAGTTTCATATATCTAGGTTGTCAGAATAAAATTGACAGTCGTTCAAAATGGAGTCATAAAATGTACTTTGTTTTGCGCATGAGGTGAATGGAGTTTCAGCACTGTTCGAATGATTTCTCTCGCTTGACACCATAAATGAATCTTTTTTATGCCAGTTCTCATCGTAATATTCCGCATAGTTTCGATTCTGATGCTACGATGTACAATAGTAGTACTATTCTACGAAGTGTAGAATACTACGACAAGGACATGCCGCAAAAAGCAGTATTTATGAGAGAAATCATTCGAACAGTGCTGAAACTCCATCCACCTCATGCGCAGAAAAAGTACATTTTATGACTTCAATTTGAACGACCGTCAATTTTTATTCCGACAACCTAGGTACATGAAACTTTCAGAAAACAAATTTAGCGGTGCTTCCAATGTGATACGAAAGCATAACGAACCTAGATCATCCACTGCGGGTTTCATAAAGCGCCAAACAGGACGCGTTTTTTTTTTGCGCCACCCGATATACTACGTATGAGGAAGGAACTAGGAGGAATTTCTAAATCGGATCGCAATCATTCCGGGAATAGCAGACTCTTCTGATCGCGAGAAGTGGAGCTAGCGACAAACTTTGCGTCTTAAAGGATTATACCCCTCATACACACGAGGCATGTTCAACAAGTAATGTAACGTGGTATGCTGCGGATAATTTATTGCTTGGATCGAGGTACTTGTTTCGTGGCGTAATATACCGGTGGTTATGGTTCTATTGCACGCGCGGATTGATCGCTGTGTGGTACTGTACATGCGTGACAAGCCAGTTAAGATGGCGGCCCTCCTAGAAACCAAGTCAATCGTTGAAATGCGGAGGGTCATTCGTTTTCTTCATCCAAGAGACATCACACCTACATAAGTTCATCGCCAACTTGTAGGGATTTATGGAGAAAATGCCAGACCGTTCGTCGTAAACTTCCCGGTCATCTTGGTCTAGTCGTCATTCTGCTCCCAGGATACTGCTTGGCCTCACACGGCCACTCAGACCCTGGCACTGCTGGAACACTCCCGCTCGAGGCCGTTTCTCCTCGACGAATGGCTTCTCGAAGTCTGTTCAGAGTCGCACGGTAGTGGGCATCGTTACCAGTTTGCTCTCTTTCCAGAAAGTCACCCTCCAGGCGCAAACTTTTCGATATCCCAACGGATCGCGAAAAACGTGGAACACAGTTTTCATATAAATATTGAGATCTCTAGCGATCTGAATTCCCACTTGCCTGTCCTCTTGAATCATTCCTTTAATTTGCACAAAATTCTCATCTGTTGACGAGGTGCTCGGTCGACCCAGTCCTTGTTCATCGATCCCGCTCTTTCACGCTGAATCGAATGCTTTACAACACACCCATACTTGTTTTCGAGACCTGGGACTTTCTTCACGAACCCCTACAAGTCGGCGATGAACTTCTGCAGGTGTGATGTCTCTTGGATGAAGAAAACGAATGACCCTCCGCACTTCAACGATTGACTTGGTTTCTAGGAGGGCCGCCATCTTAACTGGCTTGTCACGCATGTACAGTATCACACAGCGATCAATCCGCGCGTGCAATAGAACCATAACCACCGGTATATTACGCCACGAAACAAGTACCTCGATCCAAGCAATAACTTATCCGCAGCATACCTTGTTACTTTACTCATTGATGCCTAAGACTCTTTTTTATCTGACCAATGCCTGAAAATGGGAGGAGTCATTTACATAGCATTTCGAATTTATCTGTCGATGAGAGTGGGAGCAGCTCCAATGGTTTTGATATCAATCATTTGATTAACTTCCGATAAGTCAACTCACATCAGTGCCTTTGCGAGGTAAGATGATCCGTCTTGGGATGATGTGACTTTTTAAGGTTTGTGTTCGGTGGGCCACGCCAAATGTGGGGAACGAGGTAGCTCTTATAAGGTTTCCGGTTAAGATGAGTTGTTGAAGGAAGGGAGAGCGGGATACTCCTGGAGGGCGGTTGAAAGCTTCCGGGCCTACCCCTATTTCACGACAGGGAGCCCATCACCCTGAAGACATCCATTCTTCCATGTCACCAGCCAGACTAAAGAGATATGAGTGCTTCCGATAAGGGCTTGGCCGACTCGCCTCCTTGCGAACAGCTCGTTCGAACAGTTGTTATGGGGGGGACACCATGAGTGAGAAAATCAAAGGAGGGATAAAACAAAAGGCTGAGGCAGGCTCTCCATGATCCCAACCTAATTGGCTTGGGGTCGAGCAGACCCAAGAGCATCTTCCAATGTTCGCGATCTCGGACAACGGATTCGGGCTCAGCAGCCTCTCGTGGCAAAGATTCGTGATGTAGTCCGTTCATCTTGCACGAGGCCTACCGAGCGGTCTCTTGCCGGTCATTTTCGATTGGAACACTCCGAGGGCACGCGGGAAACGTGCCTCCGCCAAAGGACTAGGGATCTCAGCTCCGAGACCTGGGGCTTGTTCTTCGCCTCTGCTAAACGTAAATCTAAATCTAAAAGCAGTCTAAAAGCAAAAAGTCTATTCTTCGCCCTGACCCTTTAGATTTAGATTTATATTCAAGTTTAGCAGAGGCGAGGAACAGGCCCCTGGAGATCCTCACGGATCTCGGCACTCCGAATCCTCTCACTCGGTGCGACACCGGCCACCCGCCGCAAGAAACTCATCGAGGCACCTCGTACCCTCGACTTCATCCTTTTTGTCGTCATCAACTGTTCGTGACCATAGGTGAGGGTGAGGAGGTAAAACGTTCTCAACAAACGAACATTTCGCCTCCTTGGAAACATGAGATTTGGCAACCACAGCCCTCCAGAGTTTCTGCGAAACAGCTGCAGCCCAGGAGATGCTGCTGTCGATCTCGTTTCCGTACCGCTCGTCACTCGAGGACCAGACCCTGCCAGACCCCGAGGTGCTGCAACTTCTCCGCCTGTTCCAGTGGCGAATCATGACCTGCGTTTTGGGGACGCTTTATTTCATTCCGAGCCATGTCAATGTGAACTTGTCTCCCTAACAGGACTTTTTCAACAATAATCCCTCAGTCTCCAATTCGTGAATGCAGACCCCGCCTGATATGCAGGGCTATTCAGAAGCCACCGCCTAACCCCCCCCCCCCCCCCCCCCCCCCCCCCCCCC